ATTCACAAAAAACTCTTAATTTAAAAATGCAAGTAAAATACAGAGGTGCTGAAAATGCTAAATCTTAAACAAGTTTTTTTCTATTATTTTGTCCTGTTTTATGTAATCCATGTATATATTTTTAAGAAGTTTGCAGAAATTGCTGAAATCACAATGTTTTTACACAGAATCCACTCCAATCAAGACCAAAAAGGTGACAGTTGTGAAAAGTAAGAGTCACAATCACCACATTCGCATTTAGATGAGCTGCTAAAGTAGTTTTCAGTTTTAATAGCCTTTTTTTTTTGTCTCTCAAAGAGCTCGAAATCCCAGACAAAAACGTCTCCTTAACAAAGACGAGAGTAAAGGCAGTGCCACTACGAAAAGGTGCGTCTTTGCAGTTATTTTTGTCATGTTGTAGGTTGTGTTGATGGGCCCAAATGTGGCAGGCGGAGTAGATTTTGGTGAAATAATGAAAGAAAATGAAGAACAAAAAACTTACAGCTAGCACAGAAAACCAAGGGAGCCAGAGAAGAACAAAAAAACATAAATCCTAAAAGGAAAACAATGGCATGAAACAGGAAGAACAAGCAAGAAGTGAGAGGAGAAAGGGTTATGGGAACTGGGAGAGAGAAACGATGGACCTGGACTGACTGGCTTACTGACCGCAGGTGTGAGGTGAGAGAGAGAGAAAGTGGCACAAGGGACTAGGAAGTGAAACCAAAACTAAACATAGGGAACACTATTAAAGTATAGTAACTAAGAATAATTCAACACAAGAAGTAAACACAATAAAGTAAAATCATTAAAGAAGGACTCAACTAAAGAAAATCAAAGATTGAGAAGCCTGTCAGAAGAGAACAGTTGCTGAAAGTTTCAATAAATCCAAACCAGGAAGTAAAATCCTTGTTTTTGTTGCAGTTCCTGAGGCTCCAAAAGAAACAACCAAGCCTTCAAAAGTCAAAAAAGGTGATGCCGTGGCTGAAGCTGTCGTTAGTTAGATATATATTTTTTTTTACATCCCAATGTTTCTTTTCTTGCGTCAAAAACCTGGTCTGAAATATGTTTCATTTGCTTCAGTTGCCGAGTCTCTTAAGGAAAAGAAGATTGAACCCATCACTCACAAAAAAGGTTTGAGTCTTTCAAGTTGTCCACGGTTTTCTCTTTTTAATTCATCTCAAGACGTGTTTGTGTTATACGAATATCTTGTTAATTTTATGAAATATTTATTACATCAACGTGAATCCTCTTTCCATTTTTAGATGACAGTTTTGACTTATGATTTTTATTCCTGTGTATTAATTAATCTGTGCTTCAGCAGCTGTTGTTAAGGCAAAGCCAGCACCTGCTGAAAGGAAGAAAGGTAGGGAGATGCAGTGGTTTGTTTGTTGCATCATTTCTATTTAATTTTGTAAAATTGTAGTGAAAGTAGTCGGTTGATGATCATATGATTTATTGCCACACGTTACGATAGTGACTTTGCTAAAAAATTGTGTTTTTATTACAGAGTTTGCTGCCTAGATTTTAGTCATGAAATAATTTGATGCTGAAATAATAAACATTTTTAATGTGAAGGAAGGCATAAATCCATCTAAATCGGTCTAAATACTTATTTGGGAGGATTTTTGTTAACAGCAAGAAGCTACACTTCAAAGAAGAGCTTTTGGAGAAAGATAGAAAAACGGATTATGCTTTATAATTTCAAGATTTTTGAGCTTTTATTATATAAAAAGCCTTCAATCTAAAACATCGATGGAAACATTGTTGCCTTGCTCTCATTTTTCAGAGAAAACTGTCCCGAAGGAGACAGTAAAAGATAAAGTTAAAGGTAAAGATTGAAAAACATTTTTGGTGCCAACGCTGTCTTACTAAAATATGCAAGATGCCTATTCAAAGAAAAAAAAATAATACTGAAATACTTTACATGAAATAATTCTGCAATACTTGTCAACAATTATGAGTTGAATATGTTTTCATTTGCAGAAGATAGAGTTCTTAAAGAGAAACAGGAGCCGGCAAAGAAAGGTACAGATTTACACCAATATTCTTCTGGAGTTCACATCAGTGTGGCTTCATTTACTTATGTAGAAAACTGTTGTTGCAGAAAAACCTGCGGAGAAGGCTGCCAGAGACGAGAAGGTTGAAGGTACTGAATAGCTTCTGTAACTTCTGGTATTGTAATTTGAGTTTGAGTTAACAATATGCCGTCTTGTTGACAGAACAACTTTTGGACAGCTTTCCCATGGATGGTAAGCACAAATTCCCTCTTACTGAGTAAAATATACACAACGGTTTAAATTGAAAAATAATAAAAAAAAGGAAATAAAGAAAACTGGCTGGTATGTTTCTCTCTAGACGAGCTGCCGTACTTCCAGTGTTTCTTCCTGGACGAGGACGAGGCTCAGTTTCCATTTTATGCCTTCTCACCTCTACACATTTAACTCCCAGTGTGCGTCTAATCTGAGGCGGCCTTACTCATAACGACAAAGTCCTGTCACACTCTGGGCTGCAGAAACATGGCGGCACCCGTTCACTGTGTCCAACAAGAGACAGAGCGGCTGAAATGCGACGGACTGTTTTTTATCGTTTTGCTTCCAGGTCTGGTTGAGCTCTCGTTTTGAATACACGAAGACAGCGTCATTCCTTTCGATTCATTTCCAATTTCTGCACTCCAGTTACATTTTAACTTGAACAACCAAGACTTTTGCAAAAATAGTTTGTGCATTTTCAAATATAACACATTCTTATAATCTCACTGATTTAAAGAGTTTTGTTCTCTTAAAGGAAAAAGAAAAATCTCCATATAGCAGAATTTTTCTTTTAATTTTTGCATGTAAACTATGGGATGGAATGACCCTGCTCTGTATCTGAAAGCTCCCAGACTCACTGGCAGGATGATACCTGTGAATAAGTCTTATTTAATGAAACCATCTGCACCAAGTGCTTGTTTAAAAGTTGGTGCTGCTTTTCTTGAACTCTGGTTTGAGTCCAAGTTTATTTTGAGATGGTTTTCACCATCCGGTCTCCGTAATTCCTTGACTGACCAAACACGTGACGTCGTTACCAGCTGTACCTGATATATTTGGGGTAAGCAGGTTCTTCTGCCCAGGTAACATCTAAACATCCTGGTGTTGAGATGTTCACTGAGGGCTAGACCCGACATCGATCATGCAACAGCAACCGATTTGCTTATCCGTTGCTCCTGACGAGCAATGTTACTGACTGCGTGGTGGATTCCACGCAGAAACTTTTAAGCGTTTTCTGAGCCATGGTCCAACTTAAACCTGGCAACACAGAAATCCTGACATGCTCACGGAGTGAGCTTCCCCAGCTGCATATAAGTTCATTGGCTGTTTTTTGCACCATATGCTGCACAGAAGACAGGAGGAGTGCTCTGATTTAAGGCACCAGTCTTGAGTCGAATGTCAAACTCCTTACAGCTTCAGAGGAAATTGTAGGAACAAGCTCTACGACGGGGCACACGTCGCAGCTCTCCAGTATCTTAAACTGTCAAGGCTGTATATTACAGTGATGTTTATAAATACCCACCAGAAATGTGGTTGGTGTGTTCCTATGCAAGGGTGAGCTGTCCTGTCGTTGCATACCTGTAGGAGGAATGTGCAATACTTAGTTAGTGTAATGATCCCATTGATTTGATGGTATCTTTGGCTGTCTTTCAATAACCTGTGCATGTTGCATGTGTGTTTCATGCTCCAATATGTTGAGCCTACATGACGAATTAAAACCTAATATATAGCAGAAACACATGAAGAACTGACATAATTTTAAATCAGAAACTCATGTTGCTCAGAGACGACAAGAACCTTGATGTAAATAGTTTAAAAAATGAAACAGGAATGTTTATTTGAACTGGAACCATTACCACCTACACTGCATTTTCCCTGCTTTAAACGTGTATTATGTATAAATTTGTCAGGCCCTCAGTATTTTTGTCAATAAAAACAATTTGTCAGCGAAACATTGCTATGTGTGTGATGCTTTTTTTTTTTTTTAATCTCTTAAAGCCTCAATTGGAGGCACTTCAATAGTGTCAGCATGTCAGAATTTGACCTCTTTATACTTTGGCAATTACCATCTCAGTATCAACAGTCAGGTATTAACTGGCTACTGCTTTTATCTTATCACTCTTACTGTTAATGCAAACTTTTAAAGGTTGAGAGTTGAGATCCAACTACAACTAACAGATGTTAGGTCAGCATACTCCCATACAAAGCGAGACTGGGGTTAAAGCAAGTCAATTTACACCAGTGAGACAGATTCCTCACAAAGAGGAAACATTTGTCATTTTCCTGTAAAGAGTGCTCTACGTACATCCAAATATCTCTGTTACAAAGAAGATAAGTCCCCTTTTTTCACTTTAATTAAAGACTCTAAAACTTGGGCTGCAACTATAAAGAACCTGAAATATTTGTGCAAAAGCTTTTTACAATTATCAATTTATAAATGAACAATTATAATGTCAAATCCCTTCGCCTGGGTTCACCTGAATCATTTTTGTGCGACTGATTAACTGCGAAGTGGTCGGGAGTTCAGACATGAAGAACGGCGCACTGATAAGAGGAGCGGAGACCGCAGCTTAGCTTCAGAAATTCATCCGTCTTCATACTGAAAAGCTTCCCAGTATAAATCCCTATGGCACCGAATCCCTTCCACTGTGTTTGCATGAATTACTTTGTGCGACCAATTAATTGAGAAGTGGCCGGGAGTTTCGATGTGAAGAATGGCACGCTGATAACAGGAGCGGAAGCTGTAGCTTAGCTTCAGTCAAATGCAAAATAAAATGTGCGTACTTAAGGAGTGTGAAACGTTCTAGTTTGTCTTAAGGGTATCTGCAGCTGCATGAAAGTGGAGATGATGACAGCAAACGTATAACAGCTGCATGCAGAGTTGCAAAAAAAAAAAAAAAAAAAAAAGGCTAACCCAGTGAAGGAATGGCGATAAAAGGGGAACAATGTTGCACTGAGAAGTTTTACGGAGCACAGAGGGTCTGAAAGATTAGGAAAGTTTAATTTAGCCATTTATTTCTCATTTCCACTTTTAATACATGAGTCAGAGACAGTTTAGGCCCTTGATCATTATCCATGTATCTTACAGAGGATCTCACAAAATAATGGGGAAGGGAACGTCTTGAGGATCAGGATATAGAAATTTACATATAAGAAATTGTAATTCTGGGACCAGTCTTTTGTTTTCCAGAGTGTGGCAGTATATCGCCCCACCTGTTGTTGTTCCAGTCTATTCTTTTTAATGCAGTGATACTGTGCTGTTCTTACTCAAGGTTATCATACATCCCCATGACTACAAAATTATGTGTTTATGGAATGAAAATAAGTCAAGTGCAAACCATTGTTTGAAATATAAAAAAAAACAAAAGAAAGAAAGAAAAAAAACTACATGTTTTTCATTTCAGGTAAAAAGTAGAAGCTCTTGTTGATGGTTTACTGTGCTGGGATAAATGATGTCCTCCTTCCTTAAACTTTAGGCCTTCTCAAACATGCGGACTGCTTGGACTCCCTGAAAGATTAACGTCTAGAGGAAGAGATGAAGAAAGACAAGTTAGATATATTGAGGATATTTTTGTAAAGGTAATATAAGTTTTCTTTACTTTTACTTGCATCATGAAAACCACAAGCAGTTGGCAACAAAGTAAAAAGTTCTTTCTGATTTGCTGTTTTGTAATTATTTAATTCTTAAATATTTTAGGTTTTACAACACTAAGCTTACCACATAACTTTTGTCTGACTGACTTTATTTAAAAATATTAAATTAGATGTTCTGATCAGTTAGTACTTGAGTAGCATTTTCACTAAATACTTTCTTTTTTTAATTTTTAAACATTCCTTGGTGGATACCTTTTATTTATGTAAATATATATATTTAAGTGGTGCTACTCTTACCTGATCCTAAACTGACATTTTCCGTGATTTTCTTTCTTTTTTTAAAATACTACTAAATATTATTGATGCTCTGCACCAGTTACATTTTTTTAATTAAAGTTTAACTGAAAATTCCTCAAGTATAGTTGAATAAAATTTTCCTGGGATTTTTTTGTTTGTTTGTTTTATCATATATCATTTTGACGTCAGGTGGAGAGAGACAGCAGGCGCAAATCGTGACACCGCACCTACTAATGGCACTTCCAGTGGCAGGTGTCATTACGCGCCACAAGAGCCACTGTTTTCGGGACTAACTGCCAGTGATGTCACTGACTTCGGCTGACCTCGGCACCTCATACTGGCACTTCCGCTGACACCTGCCACCGGAAGTGCCATTAGTAGGTGCGGTGTCACGATTTGCGCTAGGCTCGGCAGGTGGATGATGTCCGCAAACGTTCAGTGAAAGTCTAGCCAAAGTTAGATGAACGTTTAATGGATTCGGGCGAACGTCGTCAAGGCAACGTTCAGGAGATGTCGTCTGAACGTTCAGAGCTAGTTTGATGTTTCTCGAAACCACTCGCTTTGGTGTTGTTAAGCAGAAAATTATTTATTTTTGCACCGGGGACAGAATCAGGAGAACGCCTCAAGAACTGCCAAGGACAACATAAACTAATAAATACCATCACGGCGGCAAGTAAAAATAGCGGAATTTTCTATAAAACTCACCGACACCATCTTTCCATTCTTGATTTCTCTTGTAATTTTGTTCTCTTTCCCATCCCACTTCTGTGTATGCACAAGTTTGTCTCCCTCCATGGTAAAGGTAGACTGCAAAAGAGAAAGGGAGAAAGAGAAAGAAACTTTCCACGTTCCGCAGAATGTGAAACACATAGTTAGAACAACAATACGTTGTGACTCACACAAAACATTTTGTAGTTTTTACCTTTACTTTTCGGTCGTTAGGTGTATTCTCGTCAAACTCCTCTCCAAGTTTGCCTGAGACTTCAGCGACCCTGAATGTGCTCTGGGTTTTAATCACCACTCTATCCCCATTCATGCTGATTATTACTGTTGGCTTGGTAACATTGGCCACTTGTCTTGCGGCAAAAGGAATTCCTGTCAAGAGAATATATCGGTCTGATTCCACTAGTACATTATTCTGGGTATATTTTTGAATTAATTGGTCATAAATATTCTACCTAGTGCCTTCATGTAGTCATCAAAGTTCCGACTTTCCACCATTTTCCATGTTCCGCAGAAAGCCTCAACCATTTTTGCAGATGTAATCAGTCCCGTAAAACTGACTAACCTTCCCCTCTTCTAAGCAAAATCCGCATTCCGTGTAGCTCTTTTGTGAGTCAAATTAGTACAGGGGGCGGAGTCTTCAGGTCACAACCTGAACAGCTGATTGGTTGCACCAAAAGCGGTGTGACCTTTGATTGGTCAGCACAAAAACATGGTTTCTACAGGTTGTACGTTAAGACGTCAAATTATAAGGCGATAGTGTGCATGAACATGGAGAAATAAACACAAAAAAGTATGGTTTCCTGAAAAATAAGTTTCTAATAAGTTTAAAATTCACTTAATGAAGCAGCATTGAACACAGACTGATGTTTTCAAGTTTTTATTTATGTTGTATTCTCCCTGTACATGACAAATAATATTAGAATATTACATCAGACAAAAATAAATAAATAAATGTTAAATCAAAACTTTGGTCTTAATACAAAAAATTAACCTTCTCCTTCCAAGGTGGCAGTTGGTAAAAAGGAATTGTAAAAGGTATTGAACGAGCCAATAACTGTGATATTGGGAAATTGTAATGCATTTTTTATTTTACCACAAGAAAAAATACAAATTTAAAAGTTAATTTTATTATTATTATTATTATTATTATTATTATTATTATTATTATTATTATTATTATTGTGCGATAATGCTGTTGCTATAAAACGTAAATTCATTTTGTTTCAATGTTAACCTTTCTTCTAAGGGACGCTGCTATGTCATTATTTGATGAAGCTTATCTGTGCCAAAAGTCGCTGTAACTGTGCAATAATTTACTCTGAGCAAAGAAATTCGCAAATAGCAGTTCAGAGAAAACGTTTCTCGTTGCAAACTCTGCTGAATTATTTTACAACATAATAACCTTTCCTATGTTGCTCTGCATGTCCCCTGAGTCTCTTCTGGTCTTATGCTGTGATAAAGACTAAAGAACCTGTTAAAAAAGAGGGTTTCATTGATACATTAATGCAGATTGCATCCCATCTCTAAGGTGAAAAGGTGGACTCAGGAGGAGAGATTCTGCCTTTTTCTTTCTTTTGGAAACCTGCTGAGCCTGAAAGTAGAAGACAAAGTAAATATTACATTATAGGTAAAAAGCCAACCAATATCTCTGTGTGATAATCCTGCCAAATTCTCTGAGGTTCACTTATGACATGTAACTCAAAGTATACTACCAAAAAACTGACTTTCTTTTGTAGAGATACCTGGTTTGAGATTTCTTCTGCATCACACAATATGTTACTGTGTCAAAGAAAATATATAAGGTATATATATATATATATAAATAAATATAAATGTAAACTAATTTTGGCTATCAAAAAACAATCTGAAATCAGCTACCCAATGCAAATAAAAAACAGCAGAAAATTTAAAGCAGCTTTTAAAGGCGATCGGCAAACAACTATAGGAACTATAACTGCCACCTGGTAAGGTGTGTGGACCACACAGCGACTCGTGCCACACAGCTTTTGATATTGCAACATAAATTATTTTACTGGTGTCAAAAAGTCCACCGGTATTACAGAGAGGAGAGAGAGGGCAGGCGGTGTGAGAACCAGGAGGGGTGATGAGGAGCAGACATCTAGTGTCGCCCCCTACGAGATGCCGCCATGGACAGTTGCCCATATATAAAAAAAAATTGCCACTGCCTCTTTGTGTCAGACCATCCGGAGGTCACTATGTTGCACTGAGAAGTTATACAGAGAATATAGAGGGTCTGAAATATTAGCAAGGTTTAGCAATTTAAATTAAAAATTGATTAGAATTTATTGTTATTTGTCATTGTACGTACGTACAATGAGATGTGTAGCGCCTCCCTGGGGGCAGCAGGACAAACATGGGGAAGCCAGGGTGGGAACTGTCCTTGGTGATGGCTATGGATCTGCTGAGGCAGCAGGAGGAGTAAATGTCCATCAGAGAGGACGTTTAAAGTTTAATACAAAAGTCAGAAGCAGTTTAGGCCCTTGATCATTACCCATTATCTTACAGAGGACCTCACAAAATATTGGACATGGGAATTTTTCCAGGGTTTAGAAAGTCACAATTAAAACAAAAAAGCAGTTTTTCTTCACATGAGCTATTTTTTTCAAAGTTATTTTAATGAAATGTCAGAAAATGTAACATTGTAACCAGAATTTTTTTCCAGATGTATGAACAGAGTGTGGCAGTGCCTCACCCCACCTGTTGCTGCACACTTCCAGTTTCTCTTTGTGTTAATGCCGTGATACTGTGGTGTTTTCATTTAAGATTATCATACCTGCCCATGGCTTTAAAACCATATACTTATGTACTAAAAGGAAGTCAAGTGCAAACCATTATTTGAAATAATAATAATAATAAAAATAACATGTTTATTTTTCAGTTCAAGTAAAATGTAAAGCTGCTTCCGGTTGGTTTACTTTCCTTGGATAAATGATGTCCTCCTTTCCACCTTCTCATATGTGCGGACCGCTGTGACGCCCTCAAAGGTTAAAGTCTAGAAAAAGAAATAAAGCAATGCAAGTTGTGTATACTGAGAGTATTTTGTAAAGATGAAATTAGGTTTGATTCTTCTTACTTTTGTCAAGAAAGCCGCTACAGGCATAACTAGAATTGTATGGACCTTTTATATATCTGAAAACCTTTAGATTTATTGCTGCAAAAGGTGGTAGTTTTTTATAATTCGGGCTTACTCAGAGGTCAAGCTAGACTTATTTGTTGTCCGTCATTTTGGCTGCCAGTTTCCAAACTATTCCATCATATTCTATATTTACCCATCCATTTTTACATTTTATTGACATAGGTTATTCAGTTGCATTTCATTTTTATGCAGTTTAATATTAAGTTGATTAGAGAATCCTGCTCCCATCACATATCAAGCAGATATGTGTTTCTCTGCACTGCCAGAAAACACTGACTGTGGCCCCAATAACTATAAACAATGAATTTAAACAACTCTTCTTAAATTATGAGGGCTTCTCCTGCTGTGGTCTAAATGCACAGCATCACAACTTCCTCTGTGTCTGCATCTGGAAGAGAAATCTGCGCTATTTAGATCAGATCTAAAATATCCGACCCAATCTGGACCCAATGTATGAATGGATGGATTTTCTGATCAGGTACATAGTACTTGAGTAGCATTTTACCAAATACTTATTATTCTTGAGTCATTCCTTGGATGGATACTTATTACTTATTTGAAATTGATGCCTTGTACCAACTAATGAAAGTTTTACTTGTAATGCCTTTGATGTTCATACAAGTACAGTAAGATAAGTGTTTTTATCATTATTTTTGCCTTGATAGATATCAATGCCTTTAATAGAGCCAATTTTGACGTTTGTCAAAATTGTCGGCAAACGCTCAGACGTCAGCTGAACGTTTAATGGAGTCCGGCGAACGTCGCCATGGCAACGCTCAGGAGACGCCTTCTGCACGTTCAGTGCTAGCTTGATACGTTTCTCGAAACCACTCGCTTCAGTGTTGCTAAGCAGAATATAATTTATTTTATATCGGGGACAGAATCATGGACGCCTCAAGAACTGCCACCGGCAGTATAAACTAAAGAATATTACCACAACTGTAAGTCAAAATAGCAGAAATCTCAATAAAACTAACCATCACCATCTTTCCATTCTTGATTTCTCTTATCAGTTTGGTCTCTTTCCCATCCCACTTCTGTGTATGCACAAATTTGTCTCCCTCCATGGTAAAGGTAGACTGCGAGACAGAATGTGAAACACATGGTTAGAACAACAATGGGTTGTGACTCATACAAAACACTGTGTAGTTTTTACCTTTACGTGTCGGTCGTCAGGTGTCACCTCGTCAAACTCCTCTCCAAGTTTCGCTATACATTCGGTATTCCTGAATGTGCTTAGGGTTCTCAACCTCACTCTTTCCCCATCCGAGCTGATTATTACTGTTGTTTTGGTAGCATTGCCCACTTGTCTTGAGGCAAAAGGAATTCCTGCCAAGAGAATATACGTCTGATTTCACTAATAAATTAGGCTTGAACTATATCATAATAAATATTCTGACAAACAAAGACGAACTTAATCCAAATTCCTTACCTAATGCCTTCATGTAGTCATCGAAGTTCTTATTGTCCACCAGTTTCCATGTTGCGCAGAAAGCCTCGACCATTTTTGCAGATGTAATCAGTCCCGTTCGGCCTAAAACTGGTCACCTTCTCCTCTCTTCTGAGTAAACTCCGCATCCCGGTAGAGCTAAGGACTCAAGTTAATAATGGGGGGGCGGAGTCTTTAATTAACGGTCTGAACAGCTGATTGGTTGTATCAAAAGCGGCGTCACCTTTGATTGGTCATCACAAAAACACGCTTTTAAATGGTTGTAAATGCAAGAGGTGAAGAGGCGCTCACTCAAATGACCGTGTAGAACTAAACACAAAATGTGATACTGAAAATTACGTTTTTAACGCAATAATTCCTGTAAATTATATTTTAGCTATAACTAATGAAAGCACATTTAAGATTACAATATAGACTAAAAACATTAATACATGAATATAGGCTTATTAATAAAAATATTCTAAATCCCTGTTGAAATCTTATTTTCAAATAGTCATTTTGACAAACAAGCTTCACTGGCATCTTGGGGTCACCCAAAAAAGATCCACCAACCTTGTGAAATATTATAGGACACCAATTACTGTCCAATTAGTAAAAAGAGATTGTAAAAAGTATTATAAGTGGCGTGCCAACACTGGGGAGTTTGTTAGTGTATTTTATTTTTCCATGGTTAATAAAGGACACAAACTACAAGATTGGGTTTTTCTGATTTTTTTGTAATTGTGTGATAATGCTGCTGCAATAAAACCTAGATTCAATTCGATTCAAAGTTAATCTTTCTTCCAAAGTTAAACACCACAGTACACACTGCTATGTCATCATTTTGGTGACGTTCGAATATCTGTGGCAAATGTCATTGCAACTCTGAAAGTTTACTCTGAGCAAAGTTCTTAAAGAACAGCTAAAAAAAAAAAAAACTTTACCAATTGCAAAACACTCTGCTGATCTGAACACAATTGTTTTATAACTTTATTAATCATTAACAAAAGCAGTTTTACATTGATATAAACACTGCAACGATACAGCAAAACGGTCCTTAACAGCAGAGATGTGACCACTGCTGTTAATAATCAAACTGGGATACAAAAAAGTGATTTTACTGTTAGTACAATGCCAATAAAACAAGACGTCTGTTTGAAAATTCTTGACAAATTAAAAAAATAATAAAATTGCAATCACTTTTCCCCAAAAAACATAAAAGAAAATCAGTTTTATTTCCCTCAAAGTCAAATATATGCATACAAATAAAACCTGAAATAGTCCTCAATAAAATTTCAGAGCTCACATGGTTACATTTTACCGTTCTCAAGCAGGATTTTACAGCTTGGCAATAAAATTCCCCATCGACCAAGTGTTAAACTGTGAGCATTTAAATGTAAAAACCATGATTAATTTTGAGAGAGCCGGGCGACAGTAAGGATAAATGGTGAAAAGCCGAGCTTAAAAGAGGTAGAAGAAGACGAGAAGAGTTGGAGAACGAGGTAGGGAAGACAGAGCAGCAGAGAAGCTTCTCCACATTAAGGCCCATCTCTCATCTGCCCTGAAAACAAACGTATCAATAGTTCCTGATCATGAGTGGCAGTCTTTTGTTCACACAGCACAGTGGCAAGTTTATGTCTAAAAAGTGGCCTTAATGTTACCTTATATAAAGATGTAGATTTCAGGAAGGAAATTCATTCTTAATTTGCTTTACTCAAGGAAATGTAATCAGAAAGGGGACAACTTCACTAACAACTTCTGATATTTCAGAATTAATTAAAAACTCCACTTTATTTAGGGATCAAGAGTTGAATCACTCTTCAAATATATATATATATATATAAAAACTCAAAGTGAACCGGCTGCAAATTGACGAAGACAAATAAAAAAAGTCCCCCGATTAAATTGTTACTTAAACGATATATTGTTTAAACACGTTTGTTTATAAATAAAATGCATAATACAGAAACAGTCCAAAGGATGAAATCAAAGTTTAAACTTTTTTTTTTTTTGACGAATCACCAGGATACGAACCAGGAAGGTTTTAGTGTTCATTAATATGCTTTGAGACAATTAACCGTTTGCAAACTGTGGTAGAAAAAGGAAGAAATGGCACCAGACTCATTTAGCGGGATTGTCCAACAGCAACGTGGCATTTTAGTTCATGTGTGGTGTGACGTCATAGGAAGTCCTGATTTGTCTGTGCGTCAACAGAAAAGAAGGATGCTATCTGAATACTCCCACGCTGATGGACAGCGGCACCTCCAGCTTCCTGGATTTGGTTTTCCCAGCACCATTGGAGGCTGCAGCCTGCTCTCTGCAAAATAAGCAAAAACGAAGTGTTTTACCAAAACAGAGGAGAATAACCGAAACACGCATTTCACGTTCTACTGGCATTCCCTACCGCATTCATGTTAAGAAACATGTTGAATCCATAAAGGGGTTACAACCATTTTCCAGGATTATTAGTTATTATTATTATTATTATTAGCTTGTATTAAAATCTCGAATTGAGTTGTATTTTATAATTTTACAATAGAAAAAAATATAGTCTAATTTTTACTTCATTATGCAAAAAATAAAAAGGCTAAACTGAGAAGACATGTCAAAAATGATAATAGTAATAATAATAATCATATTACTACTATAATATATGGGAGCTATTCTCACCCTCACATCATGTCATGACCTCTGAAGATAAGTTTATCGAAACTAACAGAAAAGTTAAAGTTTTGGGTTAAGAAAAATATGGAATTTTGATATGAAAAATGAGATTAGGATCCCATACTCCCCAGTCGATGCACATATTAAAAAAACAGGAGGTCTCACCCTTTCCTGCGTTGCTCTGCCTGTTCCCTGAGCCTCTGCTGGCCCTGCTGGTCCTCTGCTGTGATGAAGTCCCTGTTGTTGTCAATCAAAAGGTTCTATGGGGGAAAAAAAAACACACAAGTACCAGATATAACACTTCTAATAAAAGACCAAACAGTCTGTTTAAAAAAAAAAAAGGAGTGTTTTATTGATACCTTAATGCCGATTACGTCTCCATCTCTGAGGTGAAAAGGTGGCCCCAGAAGAGATTCTGCCTTTTTCTTTTTCTTCTTTTTGGAAACCTGTTGAGTCTGAACGTAAACGACAAAATAAATATTACATTACTGGTAAGATGCCAAAACAACATTTCTGCCAAACTCTCTCTTTTGTAGAGATACCCAGTTGGAGATTTCTTCCCAGGCGTGTTTCTCCGGCTGGCGTTTGGCCAACAGCAGAGAATCGGGAGAGAGGCCGTAGTGTGCAGCCAGACTGGTGCGCAGAGATCGAGGAGTAGAATCGTGAGAAGCGTCCCAAACCAGCTCTTCTGGAGGATAGTAGCTCCTCTCCCCTGGAACACCCATCTTTATCTTCAGCAGCACTTGTTTTGGCCTTGTAAATCAGCAAGAAGTGAAGAAAACACAGGAAAATTCAACATTTCAAAAGACTAAAAAGAAAACAAAGGAAGAGAATAAAAAACTTTTTTTTTTTTTTTTTTTTTTTTAAAGTTGCATTCACCCGAGATCTTCTTCTTTCAGAAGACACTGCACACAAAGATCCGCTCCATTGGTCAACTTCAGCTTCCTGAGCACAAAGCAAACAAACTATGTGGGGAAAGACCAGCTCAAACATTCTGCATGTGTCCACAAATAAAACCCATCTGTCACCCACAATGTGTGAATGAAGCTTTCAGACCTGAGTGTGACTTGTTGTCCTCTAAGGACGCGCGTAAGCCGCCCTCCCTCCATCTGCCACACGCGAAGGAAGCTAGTAACGGGCACGCACACGTCCTGAAGCATTGGCAACGTCAACACCTAACGGAGCAAGGAGAGCATCTTATAGGGAGCACTTCACAGTTAAACGTGGATCCACATTACTACCACATTCAGCCTGAAAGCAAACAATATTCTGAAGATGAATCCACGATGGTCACCTAAGCTAACCTGTTCAAAGCTGATGGAGTCTGTACCAGGTGTTGGGAGTTAAACAGAAGGTAAAGTCTTAAGAGTGAACAGAAATGGTCTTACAGGATCATCATAAACTGATAAAAAAAGAAGAAAAAAAAAGAAAAGAAACAAGCATTTCCTTAAAGTCAACTTTTGTTCTAGAGAGGCACAAATAAATCATACTTTGAACTCCATCAGTCAGTTTACAGCATAATCGGTTTTTAGAAAATCTGGTCCTTTTCCAATCAATGAAGTCCCACGTCGCGTTAACAGCAACACTCTTCAGTGTGGACGCTGTTACTGAGCAATAAGCATGTTGTTTCAGATGGGAATTAACATAAATGTTTTAGAGTGACCCTGGCAGGGTCTTTAATTTAAATCTGATCACAAATCTGAAGAGGGAACTAAAGATTAGGGTGATAGCTAGGAGACCTTCCAACCTGAAAAACATGGAGCTTATCACTAAAGATAAATCACCAACACACCAGTGGGAACACCTCACCTGAGTCTTTAAGTCCTCCAGTGTGGCATCGTCAGATATCTCCACCTTCCCGACGTTTCGTAGCTCCGCCTTGTTTTCGCCACAAAGAGAAATCGACTGAGCACCAGACCCATCTGTAGCCTCCGCTCCCTGCATGGGCTGCTCAGCAGAGCTGTTTTCTGAGTGCTTGAAGTCTGCTTCCACACCGCTCTCATCCACATAAAGCCACACAGAAAGCTTGAGAAATCCCTGAGGAAATAAAGATAAAGAAATAAAAGATAAACGGGGACGCTATGAAGATTTGTCAATAATCCAGACATCCAGGGATATTCTGATACCTTCGGAGGCAAAAGTCCTTCAGTAACAACCAACGTCTCACCACTGCTAATCTTCAGCTCTGACAAGGAGGCGTCCTGGGAATAAAAGGTGTCAATATGTTGCTCCTGAGGATTGTAATCATCTTATGAAGGAGAATCAATCTCTCCTACGTTTGTTCTCTATGCATACAATTTTATGACAAAAACATGAAATAAAATTGATCATAATATGAAATACCTTAATGCCATCTGTTTTCTGTCTCAACACTACCACACATTTTTAGCTTCAGTACCAACTTCCTCAATGTACACAGCTTAAATTTACTTTAATAATGTGCAGTTTTACAACATTTGTTTTGTGCAGTGAAGTCCCAAATACTGATTCAACAGTACTGACATGTGCGCAGCATGA